GCTTTAGTTTTACATTTTGTGGTATTGTTTAGCAAAAAGAACTGAACTTTGAGCTTAATTGTGCTATCCAGATATGTAGAATGGTTAAAGTTTGTAGATTTATGGTTTTCTAGCACTGCCCATTGTTGTAATAATCTTGTATGTGGTGCGTGTGGTCTGATATAGGTTAGAGATATCGAAGCATGGCGGACCAGGGTGCTAAGAAGCCCAATGCCAAGGGTGGTGAGCTTCGCTTTTCTGCTTCTCAATTATTGGGTTGTTCTTTGATTTCTGTGTTTCTGTTGGCTTAGCTTTGGTATTAATATTTCCTGATTTTTAGGAGGGAAAAAGAAGGAGGTGAAGAAAGAAACCGGTCTTGGTCTTTCCAAGAAGAAGGAAGAGAATTTCGGAGAGTGGTATTCTGAGGTATCTGTCTTAATCTTGTCTGGGGTTATTCAACAATTAAGTAAGTAATGAATTGACCCATGTTTTGTTGCGTGTAGGTCGTTGTTAATAGTGAGATGATCGAATACTACGATATCTCTGGTTGTTATATTTTGAGGCCATGGACGATTGCAATATGGGAGACTATGCAAGTAAGCACATTTTTTGTATTTAATCCATTTCATTTTGTAAATGAGTTTTTTGCTTTTAGAACCAGTAACAATCACCCGGTCACAGCATTTGATAACACATTCCTTGTATAGTTCTGAAGGACTCAATTTAAATTTGACATCGTATCATGGTATTGGTATCAATTGATGTCATCTCACCCCATCAGTTGATAACTATTTTGCCTGAATTCTTTTCGACAATTTCAACCTGATGCTACCATTTCATTTTCCCTTGTTGTCTGAGTTTACTTTAGATAATCCCATTTTGCACTTACGTGATTAAGTATCGGTGGCTATCTTGTGATATATACATCCCTAATGTCAAAGTTATGAACTTTATCTACCAGTTTTTTTACGTTTGTAGATTTCTAGTCCTTCAGAAAATTTCTATGCAACTCCATCACAATTATTCACTTCAAACGCTGTTACTTTGCAGGCATTCTTTGATGCAGAAATAAAGAAAATGAAGATAAAGAATTGCTATTTCCCTTTATTTGTCTCCCCTGGTGTTCTGGAACGAGAGAAGGATCATATAGAGGGTTTTGCTCCAGAGGTGAGATATGTCATTTGTGTGACATAGTTTACTGTGTTAAATGTAAACAAGCACATACACATGCTCAGTTGGTTGTTGATTATAATTTCATATTCTAGTTTTCTTTCCCTGTTTCTCTCCTTTGCATGTCCCCTATTTTAGTGTTTAGCATGCAACCTTCCCTTTTATGTGTTTGCCTTGGTTTTTTTTTTTAAATCAGATTGTTGTATAATGATAAATTTGTAATTTGATTGTCACTTTGCGAAAATTTAAGCCTGTCTTGTTATTCCCCAATCACCACCACTGTGTTACTGTTTGTGTTTGTTTATTTATTTATTTTTTTTGAGAAGATCTTATTTGTTTAAAACTACCTCTCTTTTCATGCTTTAATTTTGATAAATAGGTTGCGTGGGTTACAAAGTCTGGAAAGTCTGACTTGGAAGTGCCAATAGCAATTCGTCCAACAAGTGAGACTGTTATGTATCCTTATTTTGCTAAGTGGATCAGAGGACACCGTGATTTGCCATTGAAGCTAAATCAGTGGTGCAATGTTGTCCGGTGGGAGTTCAGCAATCCTACACCATTTATCAGGTATTACAATGTGTCATGGTTTTGGTGTGCTTATAATACTGTCTGTAGTGTTTTTGTGGTATTGACAATAGTGCGATGAGTCAAAACCTTTTTGTTCGTTCCGTTTTGTTCTCATAGATTTCAAATTCAGTTCTTGCTTAGTGTTTGCTTGCATATTTAGTCAGGGTTTTTAATTGTCCTCTATGTCAGAGGATCATTTTCTTTGAACTCTCTCTTTTGTAAGTTTGTTCAATTTGGTTTTTCGTCATATGATCTCAGGAGTCGGGAGTTTCTTTGGCAAGAAGGCCATACAGCTTTTGCAACAAAGGCAGAGGCAGCTGAAGAGGTAAGGAGTCACTTAAATTGCTGTTTCCCCTTTCTGTGCCTATTATGTTTCTAATCACACTTATAGGATAAGAGTTGCATTTTTACTGTGCTGAGTTTGATTCTCAACCATTCTCACCTTTCCTTGGAAGATTACTTTTTTATTATACATCCTGATTTTAGGTCCTTGAGATATTGGAACTGTACCGGAGGATATACGAGGAGTATTTGGCAGTTCCAGTTGTGAAGGGAAAAAAGAGTGAGAATGAGAAATTTGCTGGTGGTCTTTATACTACTAGTGTGGAGGTACTTGATATGTTCTTTATGTATATGTATATGCATAATTTGATCTTACTTCTTATGCCTCTTCTATGGTGAGCTTGAGGATATTAATTCATGCATGCAGGCTTTTATTCCAAATACCGGCCGTGGTGTACAAGGTGCCACCTCACATTGTTTGGGTCAAAATTTTGCCAAAATGTTTGAGATTAATTTTGAAAATGAAAACAGAGAAAAGGGCATGGTTTGGCAAAACTCTTGGGCATATAGCACTCGAACGGTAGCTTTGCTTTCTTCTCTCTTCTGTGTTAAAGTTTGATTCAAAGTCCATTCTATACAAGAACGATTTTTCTTTTTTCTTGAAATCAATTATGCATACCATGCATCAAGAACGTTTTTGGTCATACCATATCAATATCTATATTTTATGCGATTTATTTTTATGTTGAAGCAAGTCTGAGACTATTGAACATTCCATATAGGTAGGTGCATTGTCCATGTTATATTGTTCAGTACCTTAGGCTGTGTTTCTCTTTCTAGTGCATAGGGTAATATGTTTTTACTGGTGCATACAGTTTAACTTAGGGACAATGCAAAATGTTTACTACTTCCACCACAAAATGCCAATCTTTTTTTTTCTATGATGTCACCCCATTGTTGCTTTTACCATCCACATAATCTTTTTTGTTTTTTACTAGTGTTCTTATCATTATTGGTATTTTGTTTAGATTGGAGTGATGGTGATGGTGCACGGAGATGACAAAGGCTTGGTATTACCACCTAAAGTAGCAGCTATTCAGGCTATTGTGGTTCCAGTGCCTTACAAGAATACTCCTATGGAAGAGATATATGATGCCTGCTCGAAAACTGTGGATACCTTGACTAAAGCTGGTATTCGTGCTGAGGCAGATATAAGTGACAACCAAACTCCTGGTTGGAAGTATTCACATTGGGAAATGAAAGGTGTTCCTCTAAGGATTGAAATCGGAGCAAAGGATCTGGAAAAAAATCAAGTGAGGCTGTTCTTCCATTTAATTCGATTTTCTATCTAGTTGCTCATATTTGCTTCTGGTCTTTTTGTCCTGTTGAGTAAGCTTGTCATTAGGCCCAGGGACCTGCTTAGCACAGATCTCATGGTTTTATTTGTGGCCCTCATTATGAAATGTAAGCTGCCAGAAGGCAGGTTGGGTAAAATACTTGGCATATCAGGTCTTGGGCAAGTCTTGTATATTCGAGTATGACATGTTAAGTATAGATGCATCTTTTCCTGGTAATATTAGGGCCTGGACCTGTCTTGTGTGTGGACAAGAAAACATTAGTTAGCCTGTTCCTTACCTTCAAGGATTAAAATGGGAGTCAATGTATGAAATGTTAGCCTGTTCCTTACCTTTATGAATTGGCAATTATTAAGATGCTTGTGTTAAAACTGTCGTTTGTAATCCTGTTTTCCTGTCAAAATCATTGGTGATTCTCTTGAAGGATTGAATAATGTTTGCTTGGTTTTAGGTACGCGTTGTCCGCCGTGACAATTCAGCAAAAGAGGACATTCCTGTGAGCAACTTGGTTGAGCAAGTACAAGACATGTTGGTGAAAATTCACGAAAATCTGTTCAATGTTGCAAAGGAAAAACGAGATGCTTCTATCAAGGTTGCAAAGACTTGGGAAGAATTTATGGAAGCTCTAAACCAAAAGAAAATGATCTTGGCTCCTTGGTGTGATGAACAGGTACTGTAATCTCTGTCGCTTATATTATGATCTAGCATCAGGCACTTAATCACTGTCACTTAATCACCGTCACTTACGATTTTGTGTTTTTATTACATGACGGGTATCAATCTCTCATATTAAGTTCTTGCCTGGTTGGGTTCTTAGATCAGCACTCAGTTTTGTTGTATGTTAAATAATTATGTTGTGATTGTGTTTGGTACTATTTATGTTTCTTTTTTACAAAACTTTTAGTTTTTCTGTGATTGTCTTTCCTTTCACCGTTTCCTTCATATTTACCAGGCAGTAGAAGAGGATGTGAAAAAACGAACAAAGGGTGAAATCGGAGCAGCCAAGTCACTGTGCACCCCATTTGAGCAGCCCGAACTTCCTGAAGGTACATTTTTAATTTGCGTACGAAACTTCACAGCATGTTTAATTTATGGCCGGCAGGTGCATTCGTTACAAAGTAGTGTCTCTAGTGTTTGGAATTTGAAAATGCAACTTCTGTGCAGGGACACTTTGTTTTGCCTCTGGAAAACCAGCGAAGAAGTGGACCTACTGGGGCAGGAGTTACTAGACAACCTTTTTTTTCAAATTATGCTGTTTATTTACCCCCACAGTGTTGGGCTAATACTTTTACATTCCTATTTGCCTTGAGGACTGAATTTTAAATTACTCAAAAATTGTTTTGTTCGACGGCGTACCGTCTCCGCCTGTAGTTAATACGATACTTGCAGTATACAGTTAGAATGTGGGCATGAGTTTCTTCTCGTTCTTTTTCGAACAATGGTGCCTTTTAGGCGTCTCAGATGTAGCCATTGCCAAACTGAATAACCTTCCACTGAATGCTTCTTTCCTGAAAAAAGCCACCCTTACCTAGGGTGATGTGACTTACGAGCACTATCCCTTGGGTGCACATGCTTGAATTTTACTTTAAGAGGTCCCGATCTCCGAAAATTCTAGTATGTTATAGTATATGGCATGCACCGAATGAATGGAGAGTACACTGGTGTATTCTATAAAAACGCTCCTATTTTTTAGAAGAGTATTTGCGGGGGGTGATCCGATGGACCTCGATGGATTGCATGCGTGTCGAAACAATCTTGTATGCAACTCCGGCAACATCTACATAACTATACGGTTACATTAACCTCACACGGTAAGATCACCATTCGCATCACTAGTTTAGCTTCAATATTGTGCTCTAAACGCACCATTTGGTAGTCTTCATTCAGTGCTTTGGGTTTTTGAACTTGGGTTGATTTCGGGGTCTTCCCTGCTGTTACAACGCTTCATGTAAGAGTCGATTGTTTTCTGCTTTGAAGGGCTGCTTCTCGGCTGGCTGAATGCAAGTTTTTGCTTTGCAGGGCTACTTCGTGGCTGGCTGGCTGCAACTTCCATGGTATTCTCATGGCCATCGAGCATCTGATTGTCCAAAAACCAGAGTTCAGTTTACTATAATAAAAAACGAAGTTTCTTTTCCCTTTTGCCCCAAGAAGGAATACAGAAGATGAATTAGAGCTCAGTAATGTGTGCATGTATGTGCAACGAATACTATATTTAAGACGCTCCCCAAGAAGTGATTGAAATTACCTGTCCGAGATTTTCCAACTTGCTCTGAACAACATCCCTGAAGATAAAGTGTTAAGAGATACAAAAATCATCAAACTATTTGGAAGGTAGACAATTGCGAAAAATCTTACCATATAATGTCATCAACTGTGTCGTTTGCTAGAAGGTAATATATATTGACTGAAGACACCTAAAAACATGAACAAAACACATCAAGGAAATGCATCAACGTTTGCTGTTTGTGTATTAACAAATTAAGAATAACAATAGGCTTAAGGTCAGCCCAACACCAATAAGCCTTGGAAACATGAACTGTCGAAGAGAACATTTTTAAATTATTGCAAGGAGTTCTTCAGAATCACGAACTTTAACTGGCCAATTCTATGAGCACGATCTTCAGCTTGAATTAGGTCGCCAGGAGTCCATGACAGTTCTGCGAAAATAACAGTGCTTGCAGCTGTCAAAGTTAACCCAACGCCTCCAGCTTTGATAGAGAGCTGCACAATGATATTTAATGACAAACATTAGACGCAAATCACAGAACAACCTGAGTTGTAGCACTCCAAAAATTTCAGTATTTTGTTTTTTAACAATTTTCCAACTACAACAGAACTCAGTAAGGCTACACAGTAAAACAAAGTAAATAAATGAAGCAAACTGCCATACCACTGCTGCCTTGATAGAATCTTTTTCTTGAAATTCTGTAACATAAGCTTGCCTCGCCACGGTAGGGATACTTCCATCAATTCGAATGCAACCCACTTTCTTTTTCTGGAAAATTGGAAGTTCTTATAAGAAATTGGTCAATCCTAGAGGAAAAATTCATGTGGCCTTACCAGAAGAAACTGATATATCGAATCAATCATGGACTGATGGTGTGCAAATACAAGAAACTTGCAGCCTGCCTGCAAGAACCATTATAGAACGTTTAAAACTCTGAAAAGGAAAACATGCAGACTAAACTAACGATAAGGAAACACAAGCACCTTAGAGAAATAAAACTAAAGAAAGAGAGCAGGATATAACATAGGGTGAAGTACCTCAACGACAGTTCCCAGGTAATCCAAAACAGCTGGGATCTTAGCCTCAGCAGAATCAGTATATACCTGGAGCACAAATGAGGTAGTTAAAGGGTTCAAAGTGGCTATCCAATTGTAAAAGAAAAACTACAATAAGAAATGGGGTGACCATTCAGCATTTTCGGTATAAGAAAGGAACTATTTTGGCCCCATTTGCCCTATACTGCGAGCGTAATGCATGAATACCTTATTAATAAGATTCTTCTCAGTAAACTTAAGTGAATCAACCTCTTCTTTGGATTGGCAGGCCTTAATTTTCCCTTTTACCACTTCCAACTATAAAAAAGGAGATAAACAGCAGCTAAGCTCTATTATAATATTCCTTATATCAATTAAACTTTATGACATAAATAATGTGAATAAACACGGTGCCACAGCAAAGAAATCATAGAACTAATAAAAGATGGGGAAAAAGGAAATTAAAAGGCTTCATATAACATAACAGCACAACAGAACATGAATAAACTTCAGCTAGTTGGAACTCCAAGAGGACAATAGCTACTTATTCTCAACTTATCAACTTCATTGAAGAGACTTAGATTACCTCCCGGAATAAAGCATTGATTTGTTTCATGTCCTTTTCAGCCAAATCCAAAAAGACCTGAGATCAGCAAGGGCGGGGAAGGAAAGATAAAGATCACTAATTGTAACAGGACTACTAAGGCCCTCCCACAAGTCACAGACACTGACCTGTTGCCTACGCTTCACAGGAAGCTCAGAAAGAACATCATTTTTTAGTCTGCGAATCATCACTGTTGCCTTCATCAAATTATGCAATTCTTCATGGTTACATGCACCTTGATACAATCCAAATGTTCCCTGAAATTGCAAACGAGTAAGGAATAAAATCTCTTATGACCTGACAGAACATCTTCAGGATAAAGAAATAGTGACTTACACCCTTGCAATATCAATTACCATATTCATGAACACTTTTGTATACATCAGGATACAAGGCTTCAAGCTGTTAAATTTGAAGAAATTAATAAACAAATGAATACATTCTAGATAAAGATACATATATGCAGTTTCTTAACTAGAGTTTTGAAATACCTGCTTAAATAGTTCAATCGGTCGGGACAAAGCAGGAGTTCCACTCAGCAATATTGCGTACTGAGCCCTCTGAAATTGTTGAAAACGAGAGGAGAGAGAGAGAGAGAGAGAGAGAGATTGAGATCAATACTTTCAATAACCCTATTGCATTATTGACCAAAATGGGCATAAATTCAAAGAGAAAAAACTCAATGCTTTCAATAAGTAGTTTTTTGAGCTTTTACTCCTTTCTATATATCTACCAGAAAAGGCCTAAAAAATCAGACTTTAGTTGATGACTTGATGCAAATTTAAATTGATAAATGTTGAAATTGTTTCCAGTATTTTCATCAACTTCAATCACTGAACCAGCCTATGAGGTTCTCACAATTGATAATACTGGAAACAATTTTTTCCAGTATTTCCAGTATTATCAACTTCATTTCTTCTTAACCATGCAATTGATAATAAAAGTAGTGAACCTTCTCAGATTCACTACTTTTATTATCAATTGCATGGTTAAGAAGAAATGACAATGGTATATCAGTGTTACGTGGTCAAGGTAGGAGGCACCAGAAAAATATCTTACTAACGTACACCTCAAAATACTTATATACAAACGGTCACTCAAAGGCAGGTTCTAGAAGAATGGAATGAGAAAAGGTTAGTAGTTGCAAAGCTAGTCATCAGTTCACAATAGAGAAAGACCTTTATGACAGGAAGGGAGGCACTTGTCCTCTTTGCTTGAGCATTTTTCAAAAAGTGTGACTCATCTGCAATCACAACCTGAACAAAAAATTAAGAACATATCAAAGGAAGCAGCATCTGAAAGAAGCGGGAAACAGAAAGAAAAAAAAAAGAAAAAGAAAAGAGAGAAGACCAGCAGGACACTATTTATCAATTTAAAAGAGGCTCAAACTGTTTCTAAAGAAAATTTTATGTAAGTGTTAAAGTCCAACATGAAAACTAGAGTGTATACCTTGATCCTAATTCCTAACATAAATATCTAAATTCCTTATAAAAAGTATCCAAGGAAAACACCAAACTCTTCTATCATTAGGTCTGTTAGAAATGTGAAGGACAAAGAACCATTGGAGAGAAAAAGGAAATAGTTTAAGATTTTCATTCACATCCTACCTTTACAAGTGTAGCACATGGTTCCATGTAATCAAGTGTACTGCAAAGACTTGTGTTTTAGCTAACCTAGAGTTGAACGGTAAATAACAAACATCTCTAAAAACTAATCAATCTATAATTATGAACTCTTTGAAAAATATCTAAAGAAATGAAAGCCGTATCAAAGTGTAGTAGTGTACTCATTCTTTCACATGTTCTCCAGCTTTAGGTCTTTTCACACCAAACCATTTTTGGCCTAATAGGCATCATCATTTATAATACTTAAATGCTTTAAAACCATCCAAAAAACAGAGGTGGAGGATGTGTAGGGCAACATACTCTGTGTTCTGACACAGCTGATGATCAAAGATAAAAGATTGTGTTATTGAATACAGAAGGTAAAATGAACATTACACTGATTGTTTTAGTCCTCACCTTAAACTCAGATGCCATCAGTAGATTCTGAATTTTAGGGACTACATCATAGGAGATGATGTTAAATAGGCCATCAAGATGAATGGTCCCTTTGGCGTTTGAGGATACAATTGTAAACCCGCTTTTGTTTGAACCACTGCATTGAGACAAAACAACCTAGTGGAAAAAGAATTCAAATACAAAGTTTATAATAACTAACAAGGCATAAGACCACAGACAAATCTGTTCAATATTCAAGCTGCATAAACAAAAAGTGACCAGAATATTTAGACAAGAATAGCGAACAACATACAAGTATATCTGATGAAGGGATGTTCATCCATGGTTGAATCATCTGCAAGAAAGAAAAAGGGTACATTACATTTGGCAAGATCAATCTTCTTACTAACAGAATTCAATACCGCACTTACAGAGGCCCATTGTAAACGCAAGGAAGATGGTGTGATTACAAGAACAGGCCAAGAGTCACGAACACAAGATGCAACAGCAATAGCCTGAAAACAAAATGTATAAGGTATCAATCTGAGGCTGAAATTGGGAATGGTTTTGCAAAGAATTTCCAATCCTATGGAAGCATAACAAATCACCCTACAACTGAACTCCACCATATTGGCACCATATTATACTAACAATTCTGGAATTGGATTTAATGAATGAATTCAACCCAAAGTTCTTCTAGTTACTCAAAAATCTGGCATCTGCAACTCACCATGAGACAGCACGCAATTTGCGATGTCCTCCAAAGATCCCACTGATATTTCTATCTAAACTTTCTCCCCTAGCTTCTACTCACCTTTTTTCTTCTATATCTCTCTGTTTCCTTGAACCTATAGCAAGATTAAATATTCTTCATTTGTCCTCCAAACTTCTGATTACCAAAGTGTCTGACATTTGCAGGTTCTAACCCATATAGTCATAGGAACTTAGGAAGCGCCCACCTATGTTATCCTATTTTAGCATTCTAAATACATAAAGTTCTACAAAGTTAAAATCCATAAGATTAAGAGCTGCTTGTCAAAGGAAAACGACCAGGAAAACTTGTATATAAGTGCAAAGAACTTTCAAATGCAGGATTGGTTGTATGGGACTGTTTTATCATTGAAGGTACAGAAAGAGTAAGCATGAAGAATTTATTGCCTGTAAAGTCTTTCCCAATCCCATTTCATCTGCAAGGAGAGCACGCCCCCCATGCTGCAAGATAAACCTGGAAAAAACAATACTGATAAAGTTTAAAATGATAACTAAGAAAACGACAATATTTTATGGGAACAAAACTATTATACATATCCACAACATTATCAGAAAACATATGGTGAATCTTCAGATTTACAATATACCTAACACCTTCTCGCTGAAATTGCAAGAGCCTTGATTCAATACAACTAGGTATCCTATCATATTGGTCTGGACAGGGAAGAGACCAAAAAAAAAAAACAATTAAAAATATGAGGCAAATGTTATAAAGAAAAAAAATGAAAGATGTATAGAACCTGTCACTCTAAAACAAAGCGAGACATAGAATACCACAATTTAGACCAATATTTACTCTTACAAGGAGCTTACCCTCAAACATATAGGAAACATATTTGTCAACTAGCTTTTTTTTTTCCTTCTAATTTACATGTTACAGATCTTATTCAATCAACCAGAGAATTAAGTAAAAGCGGAAAACTGTCTGGAAAAGAAAAAGACAACTCGTACCAACATATCAATTATGCACAAACTGAACTTCGCTAATACGAGCATAATCACCCTTTACCTCGAAGGTCTGGAACAACAGAGGTAGCAGCAATAGCGCGGTGAACTAAGGGATCTAAGTTCTCTACCTGAAACAAGTTGCAACAAAGTATCAAAAAATGAAATGAAAAAACAATCCAGATTTGGTGAACTTCAAACACAAATGGTAACAATGTATACATCAAAATGTTCCAATTTAAGCTGAACCATCATGTAACACCTAAGTAAAACTGGAAAAGGGCAAAAGTTATCACCTCAACGTTAACACCAGATGTCTCATGAAGAACTTTCTCAGCAGAAGACAAAGAAGGTATAGGGAACATCCATAACCTGCAGATTCAAAACTATTACATCTGTCTGGGGCTCCATCCCATAACATGCCCATGTTTTTAAAAAATCCATACAAGATATGAAGAAAAAGCATAAAGCATTTTGCAAGTGGCTTTGGGTAGGAAGGAGAGTTGAGTTGGATACCTTCCTTTACCGTACCATGTGGCTTTGGGGATCTTGCGAACAGCACCTACTACTGCCTGGTGTAACATGGAATCTAATTGATAAGAAAACAAAGAATTTGACAAGTGTTGTGAAGGAACATACTTTACCTAAAGGAATACCTGGTCATAAGGAAATTTTGCGGCAATGTTTCCACTAGCATGAAGAAAAAATTTAACAGTGATCTTAGGTAGCTCCTTTAGACGTTCACCTTCTTGCAAAAAGGCAACGAGATAGAGGTACGTGCCCAGAGTTAGACAGAATATAACAATGCAACCAGCGAGTAATATAATCAGTTGAGTGCAAAAGGTTCAAACTGGTATGGAATTGGAAGACTAACCATTGGCCATTGTCAAGATGGGACATTTAATTCCTGATTCGTTTTCGACATTCAAAGTGATAACTCCTTTTAAGACCACTATTCATGCTCGATAGAAGTAGCATATGTGACGAAGAAGTCAAAATAAGGTTTCATGCTACTTTTTCTTGGAAATAGTTGATTTTTAACACTTCAGTAAAAGAGAAGAGTTCAAAACTTCAAAGTACTTGTCTAATAGAAATGGGTAAGGAGGGAAAATTACCAAGGTTTACTTTACATGGGACTGATGGAGGTAATACTCTAGTCCCGGCAGACAAAGGTGCTACCTGCATTGTTGCAAAACAAACATGTAAACAGATAAAGGTGTTAAATTTCTAATTTTTACTAAAAAAAAATCCAAGAAAAACATGGCAATAATTCAAAATTCAGAAATAAAGAAAGAACACTTCCAATTAATTAGGCATCCGAAACCCTGGAAAATAAAAGAAGGAGCCATTGACGGGAAAAAACGAATTTCACCTTGTTCGGAAGAGAATTCGAAATGGGTTTCGCAGGGGAACTCTGGAAACTACAGTTGCTGTTGTAATTGTTGGGAAAAGATTGGGGCACCTGGAGGAGATCATATGAAGGATACGAAGAGGAAGAAGAAGAACACGTGGAAGCGGAGTTGACGCGTTGCTGAGCGAGTTTCTGGAACGCGTCTCTTTCCAGAGAGTCGAATTCTTCGGCGCTCAAATCCCAGTCGTCGTCGTCCAACGCCATTGTTGGACAGAAAACTGAGAGAGTTGCAGAGTGCCGAGAGAGTATTTGAATTTTTGGGGTTTCGGATTTTTTTTTTTTTTGTCGTCCTTTTTGCGACATGAACGTCTTTCAAGCGCCAAAATGAAGAAAGTAACGATGAAAAACCTGCCGCCGTTACACGCCTGATTTGGGCGCTAACCTCTTTCCGTTTGACCCCTAAACTATTATCCTAATTTAATTTGATCTCTGAACTATTTTTTTGATAAAGTTAACCTTGAACCATCTAAACTTAGCTACTTAACTCTTTACTATCATATTCGATGAAATTTTATCCGTATTGTCATCAACTACTTGACGAATTTATCCTTAGTGAATCACGTGTTAAATTATGTGCTAATATTTGACAACAAAATGAATGAAATTTTATCGAGTCTGATGAAGTTCTAATTAGTTAGTTTCAAATAGTTCACGAAATTAATTTACCTATAAAATGTCAACTTCAACTAAGATAATAGTTCAAGAATCGAACAGCAATTACCCCTTACTTTATGATATTTAAGTAACCCAACCCAACTATCAACCTTTGGGCTCTCTATTTGGGCCCATCACGAGGATGGCTCACTAGGCCCAAACTTCTTCTCTTTGATAATATTTTGTTGGGTAAAGTTTGGATGAGCGTTTTAGAAAACCCAAATGATGTCAAGTTATGAAAAATGGATCATAAACGTAACATTGATGAAATTAGAGAAACCCTTCACACTTGCTTTTGTAATGCTCAATCGCTCATGGAGGGTTTCTCTAATCTTATCCATGTTACATTTTATGGTCCATTTCTTCGTAATTTGGCATCAAGCTCTTGAGTCTCCTAAAACCCTCATCCAAACATACCATTAGGGATTTTCTTTTAATCGAGATTTTCAATTTGATTTAAGGAGAAAGAATACCAACACAATCAAGGTGCATACCAATTCTCAAGTGGAACATGAATGATCAAGTCAGGTAGGGCTTTAGGTAGTTGAGATGATACGAAGAGAATCACTCTCAAAATCACCCGTTCTTGAGCAACTAGGGCCTGAACGAGTTAGGGAAGAATACATTTTTAAACCGTCAAAAGTAAACCTGCAACAAATCACCCAAAACTTACGAAAACAAATAGCAAAGTGTCATAAATCATTTATTAAATAGGTGGGAAGAATTTACTCATCACATTGTTGATGTCATCTTAAAGGCCCGGTTCTACATAGTTAGGATCCATGTAAGTGAACCGAGGTATCAACAATGTGATCAAAATATTACAAAACATAACCGATTACAAACTTTAATTAAAAAAAAAAAAAAAGAGAACTCGAAGACCACTGAATTAATACAAAAGCGGGTATATAAACACGTTCTAGAATCCTCTATTATTTTTTACTTTACATTTGTTCCAATTTTTAGTAAAAGTTTGTAACCAGCACACTTCTTATCACTTATCAGTATGTCAGTATGTGCCAACTAAGCTTGCAATTGTGGTCATTCAATAATTCATGAAGAAATTTCCCAACTCAACTCCAACATTTTATTAACAAATCCTTAGCAGTTAGCAGCTGAGCAATCTCTGCAAGCAAAGATATGTGTCACTCTCCCTATATTCTTTGGTCAATTCCTAACCCCTACGGATCTGGAAACTGCCTTGCGGTTTCCCAAACTCTCCATCTCTCTCTCTCTCTCTATAAATCGTGGACGAAAAAAGTGCTGCCCAGTAAAGCTACTTTTACACTAAGAAGCATAAAAACGGCAACTGGTGCCACTCTCACAATTCTCCACGTAAAGCCATGCCACTCTTTCCCACCTGAAACTGCTTCCAGGTATGAAGGATGAACACTATCGAGTTTCTAAATTCTTATTACCACTCATCTTAATATACCATTACTAACTCAATATTCCACATCTTCATACTCGTTATCATGTAAATCAAACATATGGGATAACCTTATCTTGTCGAGCATGTTCGTATGTTGTTAGACTCTGAATATGAACGTGATTTGGTAAGAAGATTGAGCTTAATCATGGAATATTCCACTCGTATGATGTAGTCACATAAGGCTGAGGCTAATTGCAAAATTTTCGTTCATACCAGATAACTTCTTAGGCAAGTTCAAATCTTTGCAATATGATGATTTTATATGAAGTTTTTCAAGTTGTATATCACGGCGGTGTAACTAGGTTGATTAGGGTAGTGTTGTGAATTTTGTGTGCTTAAGTTCAAATCTTTTTTCGTAGTTTAAACTTGAATTAAAAAAATAAAAAAAAATTAAAAAAATAAATATAAAAAAAAAATGGAGACGGTTTTAAAGTTTGGTAGTGAAAATTTGTCGTATACATATTAATGAAATTGAATGGATGATTAGTTCTGAGGTTGGGGTCTAGGGATGTGAAATTCGGTCTGCTAAAATTGTATTTTAATATTATTCCATGGCAGCCTGATAAACTCTGAAAAATGGGGTTTAAGGTACTTCTGGTTGCAATTAGCCTGTGGGTTTGGTCAGGCTCTTTGTCTACTGCTACAAAATCCAGTGATGGGCTGCTGAGAATTGGTCTAAAGAAGCAGCCCTTGGACCTCACCAGATTAAATGATGCAAGACTCACCAGGTCACAAGCTCTTCAACCCAATGATCTTAAATCCAACATTGTGTATCTGAAAAATTATCTGGACACCCAGTTTTATGGAGAGATTGCTATTGGCACCCCACCACAGTACTTGGGTGTTGTCTTTGACACTGGCAGCTCCAATCTGTGGGTCCCATCTTCAAGATGCATCTTGTCTGTAAGCGTAATTTGCAGTGAATTTTTTCAAGTGTTTTGTTGTTCCTGTAGTCTTTGAGCAGTTTGTAAAGTAATGGATGTCTGCAGATTTCTTGCTATTTTCATTCTAAATACAGGGCAAGCCTTTCAAGCACTTACTCCAAAATTGGTAAATTTTTTTAACCCTTACGTTTGATCAATTCTTGATAGAATTAAACTGAAAATTGATGTGTGTGTTGTTATTTAGGAATACCCTGCAAAATTCCTTATGGGTCTGGTTCGATTTCCGGCTACTTCAGCAGAGATAATTCGAAAATTGGGAATGTTATCATCAAAGATCAAGTGGGTTGCTCTCTTTTTCCATTTTGGTTTATCTGAAGTTTTTGTTTAAATGTGTTCCTGTTCCAAGTTGTTGATGCTATTGCAATATCTGTTCCCATCCTATAGGAATTTGTTGAGATTACAAGGGAAGGATTCCTAACATTCTTAACGGCGAAGTTTGATGGAGTCCTTGGACTTGGATTTCAGGATATCTCTGTTGGTGAAGCCACACCAGTGTGGTATGGTTCTGGCATAAACTGTTTAACACTGATATATCATTAACTGGCTTTTAGTTTAGCGGTATTTCTCTTCTTGTTGGAATTTGATGCTTTTAGAAATAAGAAGAGTTTTTATGGTTAAAAGCTTGCATTAGTTATCCGGGTACAGGTTTAACATGGTGCAACAAGGTCATATGAGCCAGGAAATTTTCTCCATTTGGCTAAATCATGATTCAACATCGAAGTTGGGAGGTGAGATCGTCTTTGGTGGATTTGATTGGAGGCACTTTATTGGTGATCACACCTATGTCCCAATTTCACAAAAGGGTTACTGGCAGGTTTATTGTAGTGATAAAAAGTTGATGTTCCTCTCTAATATGTTCTTCTTGCCTAATGAAATGGCATTTGATTTGGTTTCATTGATCTCTATAGATTGAGGTTGGAGATGTTATCGTTGCAGACAATTCTACAGGTTTTACCACATTTCCACACCTATGTTTTTTTAACTATCTTTATTCCATCTTCAAAAGATTAAATTTGCTCGGCAAGTCTAGGAATTCATGGCATAACATCAAGATTTGAAATTGTCAGGACTGTGCAGGGGCGGTTGTGGTGCCATTATAGACTCAGGGACATCCTTCCTCGCTGGTCCAACTGTATCAACTCGTGCCTAATACTTCACTCGAATTAATTTACCTTCTTTTGTGATTTCTTTCTGCAGTAACAACCTGTATTCCATCATTGATTAGCTCTTCCTTTTCAGACTATTGTGGCTCAGATCAACCATGCCATTGGAGCAGACGGGCTTGCGAGCTTGGAATGTAAAAATGTCATTGCCACTTACGGAAATTTGATATGGGAATATTTAGTATCTGGGGTTTGTATTTTCTTTTCCTTTTCACCTCCTCAAAACTTCATTTGAAATTCCTCTCAAGAAATGGATTACTGCATTAATTTATAATTTACCCCACATTGTCCGCAGGTACGGCCTGATGTAGTGTGTGTGGACATGGGTCTATGTTTATACGACGGTTCTCAGAATATAAAGTTGAGACTTTTCTTTTTCTTACAATTGTTATCAGTTTTTACAACTTCGTCAAAATAACCATAACATGAGGAAAAACTTTACTTCTGCAGCAATAACATTGAGTCAGTGATTGAGAGCAAAACCGGGAGGGAGTCATCAGTCGATGAAACTCCTTTATGTACCTTGTGTGAAATGGTAGTCTACTGGGTTCAACTACAGCTTAAAAAACAAATAGCAAAGGAAAAAATATTTAGCTATGTGAATGAGGTAATTGTTCTTCAAGTCTGAGGCTGCATGACTGACAATATGCATATAGATTATTGACCAATTTCTACGAGTTCTTTTAATTCTTTTCTTTCGTTGCAAATGTTTTATGAATTATAAAGTTGTGCGAGAAGCTTCCAAATCCGGTAAAAAAGTCGTTTGTCAACTGTGATAACATTGCGTTCATGCCAGACATTTCATTTACAATTGGAAACAAATCCTTCACCCTCTCTCCAGAACAGGTATACTTAATGCTTCAAGTCTCACTTCATTCCTGAAGATTTTTTCATTGAAATTTATTTACACCGTTCGGACTTCATGTTCAGTACATACTTAAAGTTGAAGAAAAATGCTCCACTGTCTGTCTTAGTGGATTTACTGCTTTGGATGTGCCTCCTCCACAAGGTCCTCTATGGTAAGCCACTATGAACCCTCTATGTTCGACTTAACGAATTTCTGTGATTATGCTAAAACTCTGAGGGGAGAGACTACGCCTCTGATTATCCATGAGACATGACATGTCTGATTATTAAGTTCTGTACAAGAATGTAATGACGTTACTGCATTGTGCAGGGTTCTTGGAGCTCTGTTCTTGGGAGCATACCACACGGTGTTTGACTTCGGTAATCTCAGGGTAGGATTCGCAAAAGCTACGTAGTGCATAGACTTGATTTCCCACTTTATACGTAAAAGATTTATGCTAATACTAAACGATTATCATAGAAAATAAGATATTATGGATCGGTAAATGTCCCATTGGGTTATGTATTTAAGTATCCAATGCGATGCATTAGGGCCTCCTGTAACTTATATAAATAAAACGCGGGCTGTTTGCTTGGTATGAATTGCAATAAGATGCAACAATTGCCAAATTTTTTATTCTGTTGTAAATTATGTGCTGCCATCTAAGGCTAGAAGTATTTGCTTGACTGGATTTGGCATTAGAGCTTAACATAACGATCAAAATGCTTTGCATTTCGCTATAGAGGATTGAATAAGCACGGCTATTACTGTTGTAATAATTTATTCGACATGTCAAGCTTGATGGAGTAGAAGCCATTTGGAAGCACATCAACAAAGTTCAGTACGTTTGGAACTTTGTTTCCTCAAAGACCTGTTCTGCAACTATCTGCTCTTTTGATCTCCAGTTGTGCCTTTTGGTAGAAGCCGGTACCTCTCAATGCGTCGGCACTAAAATCATCAAAACCGACATCAATGGCTGCTTCTGCCTTGGCTCCATAGACCAGCCTCTGTTAGACATTAGTGTACAAATTACGCGTTATAGATTAAACCGGAAATTAAGGAAGAAACCTGGGAAGATTTTCGAGCCAGTTCAACCTTGATCCCTGAGAGATGGATGGCACCAAAGCACATGGGGCAAGGCTCGCAAGATGCATACAGTTCGCAGTCTGAAAGCTCAGTCTGCTTCAGCTTCTTACAGGCCTTGCATAGCGAAAAACATTATGAAAAGAGAAGAATTCATATGAGATAGGTCTAAACTTCCAAGAAAAACTTCCTTGCAATCAGGACGTTAAGGTGACGGTATTCTAAGCTTTAGGATACCACCACCTTGGCCTCCCGGTTGCATCTAAGTTCCTTCGTCTAACCTCTCTTATTGCTGTGACCTCAGCATGCGCGGTTGGATCTGTGTTCTTCAAGACCATGTTGTGACAGCTCACAACAACTTGATCATTTTGTACAACAACAGCACCAAAAGGGCCTCCATCTCCACATTCAACACCTTCATATGCTTCTTCAACCGCCTTTCTTAAAAACTTGTAATCTCTATCCTGCACATCTGTATGAGAAACCCATGAAAGCATAAAAGTTAGAGAAACAAAGTGATCACGAGCATCCAGAGTTTACTAGGTCGCGGGGTTTTCTTCGTCACCAAGCAAACACATAAGTTTCAAGAAACAGACTAATCCGTCAATACCAATAAGTGCATGAAAGAAAGAAGATGGCGGCCGTTCGGGCAAGGCCGGTGGCATCATCTTGGTACTAGTAACATTTTGGGTTAAGCTGTTGCGTTTGTTAGTAGAAATACATTGTGCTAAGTTGAAGTGAGAGGTTCTAACACACTTACCGTTGGCTCCCTCCATTGCGAAGTTAGGTCGATTTCGACGTTGATGGAGGTATATGATGAAGCACCGGTTCAATATATATATATATGCAGCATAAATTTTGATACTTTGTACAGAATTAAAGAACAGTACGTGACTGTGGACTGAAAGATAATAGATGCCAAATGTGAGTTGTTATTCTTCAGCCACCTTGATATGATTCTTCTTCCATCTTCATATGTTTCCACGCAAATCAGATCATAAATCAGTAGAGGAAAAAGCACACATATAAGTTATATAACTCATATAACTTCTCTCTATATCAAGCTTACTCTTTACACCCATATTGTTTTTAATTAAACTATCAATATCTCTTTAAACCCAAAACGGTTTAGGGTTTAGGGTTTGAGATCTCAAGGCCCCAATTCAATATGTAAATTCATCTTTACACACATTTGAAAAAATAAAAAACCAAAATCAAAGCATTGTCTCCTCTGATGTTCTCTCCTTCCAACAGTTGCTTTTCATAGAGTCTTCATCAACCTCTACAACCTTGCTCTCTATAAATCCCAAATTACTTTGCGTGACCATGGCAAACAAGCCGTCCCTCTAAACTACCTTCTTGCATTTATTTTGGCTTCTTTAGCACACTCGTTGGTGTGTGCAATATTTGCACCTATAAGACCATCTCCAACCCTTGGTCTAAAACCTAAAATTTTTAGCCCAGAAAATTTAGGTTTTAACCCAGAAACAGTTTTTCTGCTCCAACCCTTATGGCCTAAAATTGTAGTCCCAGATTATTAAAGAATGAAATTAGACTAATTTTTTTGGGGTGTGATATCCATACACCCCATTTTACTTCTCACACACCCTTCTAATTTTCGGCCGTCAGATCGGATGGATTGAAGAAGATCAACGGACAGAAATGAACAAGGGGTGTGTGAGAAGTAATTTGGGTTGTGTGGATAGCACACCCCATTTTTTTCTTTAAGTAACTTTTTTAAAATAAAAAATTATGTAGACTATCCTAATTTAATTTTATGAACATTTTAACCTAAAAATATTTAGATTCTGACAACTACTAAAAAATCACTAACCGACACCATAAAACTCGTTAAACACTATGAAAAATGTGAAACAAATGAAAGATTTTTTTTAATTACTTTAGCTGTTAGATTTAAATTTGAACCGTTAAATTATTTTTTTACTGTTGAATTTTATCAAATTATATTTTAACCGTTAGATTCAATGTATTTATAAATATAAAACTAAATAAAATATACATATATGGTGGGCCAACCCCACTAATCCCGGGCTAAATTTGGTTTCCATTTGAGTTTTAGGTTTTAGGCCACATTTTAGCATTGGATTGGGTTGAGTTTTGGGAGGGGAATAGAAATGGAAATTTGAGTTTTAGCCTAGGGTTGGAGAAGGTCCAAGCAATTCAAAGGAAGAGAAAAAAAGCTACTTGAGAGCAACTCCATTTGGTGAGCCTGTTCATTTGTACTGAGTACCGTCATTTTTTGTATAAGAGAAAGAAGCATGAACATAAACATAAAAATTGTATTGTTGATCACTATTTTAATAACATGATTTTTACGCATGCTACTAACTTACCACAAATTGAAAAAGAAAGAAACCAAATTCCTAAAGTAAAAGTTTTTAACACTCAACAATAGGACATTGACTGAAGCAAGTGCAAGCGTGCTTCATAGACATCAGCAGGATTTTTTTTGTTTGGGTTCATAAAATAATTGAAATCAAACCAAAAAAAAAAAAACTTGCATAAATTGATTTATACCTTAATTGAAGGATCCAAAACTTCAAAATCACCATTTATCTATCAAAAAGAGTTTGTTTTTCTTTATGAGAGTGTCTTCGGGTTTTTGCCAAACTAGAACGTAGGAGAAATATTACGTGATAGTTAGGGCTTGATTATTAGGTATGAGTTTATTGACAAATCATATTTTTATTATTAATTTCATCTTGTATTTGATGATAATTATGCAATAGGTTAATAAAGACGTTTCACGCTTAAAGTTTGAGTTGGGTGTAGAAAAAAACTACATAGATATTAACACAAATATAGATGAATTTGGAAAAATAAAATATCAAATAAAAAGTAATTGCACGTATTCAAAACTTATTAGGTCGTAGAGTATTTTTGTTAAAAAAAAAAAGAGAAAAGAGAATTGATCATAGAATCAATACCAAAATAATTAATAGCCAATCTGAGCTGAAAAATGAGTATTTTTCAAAAGAGAAAAGAGCTATTGGCAAAGTGATATGTATTTGTTTGAAGGATAAAAGTAAGATTAAATTCGAGTTTCATAAGACATATCAAAAAATAAAGGCAAAAATAAAAGTTTGGAATATTTTTTTGTCACATAAAAAGGTAGGCACAACGGCATGCCGTTTGGAAATGGACATAGAACAAACAGATTAAAGAAGCACGACGTCGTTCCATTTTTTGTTTTTGACGACAGCACGCAGAGTTCCACGGTCGAGAGATGTGGGTTCAGCCCCTTACAGTGGTCATGACGGTGAAGCCGTGGAGCTCTCCTCACGGCGGCAGCCGCACAACCGCCTTTCTTGTTTCCTAAAATCCCAATATTCCATCTGCATCGACGCAGCAACTGCCGATACTCCCAAAACCCACTTTCAATTCAAGGACTCCATCCTTCCAAGTCCCAAACGCAACCGCTGCTATCTTCTTCTTCTTCCTCCTCTGCTATTACTCCGTCCGCACAAACCGTCAAGCTCAGCGAATTCGATCCACCGCCGAGTTGGGCCATCTCTCTCCCCTCTTCGTCCTCTCCACGGTAAAACCCATTCGCCCATTTTACTACTTAACCAGTAATTGCTGCTTATTGAGTTAATGGCACTCTGACCTGCAGGATTCTGCGGCGGTCTATGAAGCATGGATACGGATACGGCAGTATGATACGACACGACGATGCGAAAAATCTATAAAAATTAAGATATGGTACGCAATGGATACGGCAAATATATATATAGCAACAAAAATATACATTTTAAAACATAATTTATTATTCAAATTCAAGTACACATGAGTTGTTAGAGAAGAAAATTTCGAAATCTAATCCTCTTTGCATCCGTGCATCATAGGCGGCGGTTTTCTCCGTCGCTATACTTTGTATTCTAACAATAAACGTAAGCCACTCACTCGCTCACTCACATCCCCTACAATTTTTTTTTATTTTTTTTTTGTGCTTTGAATTTTGAGCAATGGAATCATTTTATCAATTTGTGAGCGAATGAAGCTTATTCGGATTTCAGGCTATGAGAAGATTGGCAGCTGCAGTGGACCAACTATCCAATGTGGTGTCCCGGGAGGTGCCCGGAATGCTTTCTTCTCTCAAACTCTCCGGCGTTGAGATCAACGACTTGGCCAAGCAGCTTGCCGCTCTCAGGTAATTATTTGCATTTTCTTCCTTCCCCAATTCTCTTACATTGCTTATCAAATAAAAAACATGCTTTTGCTCGTACTATTTTGAATTTTTGGGGTTGTCAAGGGAACATATTTCCGCAACTCGGTTTGACAAGAATTCACAATTTCTTGTTGAATCAAATTATGTACATGTAGTCTTGTAGATTTTCCCATTTAATCTCAACTTGGTGTGTCTATGTATGTATACTCTTGAATCGAGTATTTGCAAATTTAATCAAATTTTCAATTTATAGGAACAATGTTAAGTTGTATGATTTATTAAGGTTTATTATATTAACACCTCACATATTGTTGAATAAACTCCATATACTTAATACACCTCACATTTGTTTTTTTTCAATTAAAAATTATCTTACTACAACACCCTACATACTTTCCCAAAATATCCTCACACCCCACATTCCTAATATACACCTTACATTTTCTACACACCCCACATTCTTCAAATCTTATAATACTCATTTTTAATTTTTATAAATTAAATTGACTTTGGAGTAAAACTCTAACATCCCGTGTGATTGATGTGGAGAAAAGAATAGTCACTTGAGAGGCACCAATTGAACGGAATGAGTTATATTGCAATAATTAATCATTGAATGGAATGAGTTATGTTGCAGTAATTCACCATTGAAAATAATGAGAACTTCCTAAGAGAGAAGCCTTTAGATAATCGGGTTTTCTGGGAATTGTAAATAAATATTAAGCTTAAATCAATCAATAATAGGCTTGGGTAGTATAGTTTCCTGGAAAATCACAAGCATATATGGAGGGGGGGGGGTGTTGGGGGGTGTGGGGTGGGTTATACAACAAAGTTTATAATTTGGCATACTTCTTGAGCGTTTCACCGGCGCCTTTCGCGTGCTCCGGCACAGGCATGTTGCTTAAAAGAGTAACTCTTGATGATGATACGATGGATTTGATGTCTGAGTTCGAAGGATCAATCTTCCATAGTTTCACATCCCAAACCTGCCCAAAAATAGCCAAACCCGAAAACAATCCTTGAATTATGTAATCCGCTTATCAATATTCGTTACAGAAAAGGAAATGATAAACTGATGAAAGATGAAAAACCAATGTGGATAATTGGGTATTGGCATTCACATTTCTTTAGTAAAAATCTCTTTCAGTAGGAAGTTATCTGGAAATAGCATGTTGGGAAGAATGAGATTGAGAATTGAAGTCCATAGATTGAGCCTATGCAGAGATATTGTTGTTGATAATGATATAACTGTTGTGTTTTAATTGGTAATGACAGTTGCTGATGAAGACTTGAGAGGATTACCTGAATGGTCCTGCCGACATTGACCGGGCAGGCTTCAGCAAAGATATGGTCGTCGAGCTTGGCGGGCTTCAAATGGCTGATGCTGAGGTGAATCCCGGCCACCCTTTGGAAACCAGAGGCCAGGCGAGCTCCCATGCTGGCCAGGGCCTCAGAGATGAGCGCTGATATCCCTCCATGTAGCACCTTGAATGGCTGGTCTCAGCAGGAAAGAATGGGTAAGTAGTTAGTCATATATGTTTTGTTTTGCTTCTGTAATTAACATCTTTCAGAAATTTGAGCAGGAAAAGATTCATGACACGAAAAGAGAAAGAAGATGATGATGATGACCTGGACGCAGTTTTCGGTGACATGGAGGCGACCAGAGACCTTGTTGGGGCTTATCTCTTCAAGCTCGAACCCGAGCGCACCTAGTGGAGCATCCAGAGTCGACGTCGTCGATGGCGGCAATAACGACGGCGCTGATGGCTGAGATTGGGACTGTGAAGCCATATCTGTACCAAACATTACTGCGAATATATTTAACTGACATACATATATATTGTGTGTATATATATATGTATGTCGCTGGATTTGGTTTGTGTATTGTTTTTAGACGATGAAACCAAAGCAATCCAAATTGCCCTTCGATTATTTAGTGGTTGGTAAGACTTTTCCACTGTGTTGAATTATCATATTAGGATCTAGAACACTATTTAATACAAATTTTGATATTATGTAGGTCCATTTTGTAACAATGATCCAAACAATCTATATTTTAGTAGATCAATAAACATAAAACTCAATCCAACGGTCACATTGTTTTGAATTTAGGTGATTTTTAATAAATATAATCTTTTTGATGTAAGCCGCAAAAGATAGACGAACGCGTATGCGTTCAAATCCTAACCCATATCGAACTGTACTGAAGCGTGCTCATGCCTATCCATATGTACTATGATCGATTTGAATATAAACAGTACATGGTAAAAATTAACCGCACGATGCACGATAAACGAATGTGATTGGAAGATCCTGAGATCCCCAGAAAGAGAATCCGATAAAGATCCTCTCTTGGTGGTGACCTATCGTTTGCTAATTTTTGGAGGGAATTAACTTAGTTGATGAACATTTCAGCAATCACTCTTGCTTACATCTAATTCCGTGTGGACACGTATTCAAGTTTTAATTAAAAAAATTAAAACTTGGACACCTGTCCATCCAGGATTGGATGTAAGCAGGAGTGGCTGCTAAAAATTCAGCAACCAAGTCTTGTTATTTCTGGAGAATCCACTGGTTGCCAAGATCCCAAGAGAAGGAGGAAGGAAGGGTAGTTTGGTCCATTCACACATCCCATTGGTGGTGAGGATAGAGAGATTTTTTAGTGTAACCGTCACACAGAATGGTACACCACATATTGCTATATAAATGTGGTATATGTGTGTTAAACAATTAATAACTTAAAAAATAAAATTTCTTATTATTTACATAAAAACACATGATGCATTACTCGTATTCCTATCACAACTAAAACTTTCTCGTGAGGTTGGGGAGAGGTAGGCGGGGGCACTGGTGATGCATCTGACGCAAGAAGAGGAGAAGTTGATTAGGACTAGGTGCCTGGTCTTTGCCACCTGTCAAGTTTGGCTCCTCATTTCAGCCGCCACCTTTTTCTTCGGCCATCAAATTTCCAGGGTAAATGCCAGAATATTTTTTATTTTTATTTTCTCCAGTAGATTAATTAGCACGTCGCTTAAATACTATTTTTCTGTTTTGGAATAAAAAGTATTATTTATATTAAGGTAGTAAGAGAGTGTCTTAAGTCATACAATGAGTCAATCATAATAATGTGGTTTGAATTTGCTTTTGATAAAAATCAAATCTAAAAAACTATAGTATTAAGTGGCGAGTTACTTAAATACTTAAATGTGTTTTTTTAATTAATAATTTTCATTTAGTGGTACATAACGTTAATTGTTATAAAAAATGAATGGTTTGAAAATGGAAGACTTAATAATTGTAAAATATAAATTTAACAAGGTGCATGATCTACCGCTTTCTTGCAACGCCATCATTGAGTGCGATCTTTAATGGACACGAAAAAACATGGAGGCAATTGGAGCCAGCTGAAGACTGTTCAGAGAGAATGACCCGAATGAGATGAAGTTCAATATCAACAAGACTTGGCTGCTAAATTTTCAGCAATCATTTCTGTTTATACCTAATTTTGGATGGATAAGTGTTCAAGTATTGATTATTTTAATCAAAATTTAGACACTTATCCACACAAAATTTGATGTAAGCAGGAGTGGCTGCTGAAATGTTGAGTAGCCAAGTTAATTCTGTCCAATGTTGTCGATGTACCATATCATGAAGAGGTGGATGTTGGTAATAAAATCTTAAAGCTATTAGATCAAGACTAAAGCACTATGAGCATTATAATCGTCGAAAAACAATTTCAAGTGACTGAAGTTGAAGAATTCATGAATCAAAATACATAGCTTTCGTTAATTGTTTTTAGTAGATAGTGGCTTGATCTCGTTTTTGTTTTACTTTATTTTTATTTTAATAATAAAAAGTAGTAGAAGTGGGACGGGCGGGGAGTTTCTTGGTATAACAATCATTTCTCCTTCGGACGAGTTGGTGCCTTGCACTTGAGTGTTGACGAAAAACCAATCTCGCACCATCCGTCTCTAAAAATTTTACAAAAAATTAAAAAAATAAAATTTAACACCGAAAAAAAAACTGTAGCACATAGTACTGAAGTCACATCTCAACATTATTATATAAGTTTTGTTTTTTTTTTTTGGTCATATTTTTTATAAGTTTTATCATATTGATAGATTGAATCTTTTGACTTTTGTACACAATAAAGTAATTATATTATTATCTAATTTTAAGGTTGCATTGCATTGCATGTATAAACTCCTCGCAACTCAATTCATGGTTAAAACACTTTATTATCAGACTTTAAACGTAATCAAGTTGATTATTACTATACTTTACATGTAACCTCAGTCAATAGATTTTTTTTTTTTTCTTCTTATAGTTTGATTCTTTAAGCGTAGCCGTTATGGGTGACCTAGTCACATAAATCTTACTAATATAATGTTTGACTATATCATTATTTTTTTTAGGGAACAATTTTGACTGCATCTTGATCCGCATAATTTTGGTCACGCCCATATCACAACGTAACATTTTTTTTTAATATATATCAACATACAAACATATCCTTAGTCAATGTGTTTTTATTTTATTTTTTTTAAAGTTAAAAATTAATTCAAATTTGCAACACAAAATATTTGACAAACATACACAGCCAGGTCCAACGCCGGACCAAACGTTGGAAAACTCAGACACTGAATTCAAATCCAGTCCCATTCAGTGTCGTGAAGGAGCCTCTTTGAATGTTTCCCACGTTTTTTTTTCTTGATCGACTAATGTTTTCTATTGGTTATGACATATAACAAATTCCGACGTGAGGTCGGTTTATTTTTCATTATTTGTGTGTTAGTAAATGTAAAATATGTCAAGAATGAAAATAATACATATATGTAACATCCCATATTGTTTAGAGGAGTGGATCTTGTAAGCCTTATATGTATATTCTCATTTCTACCTAACACGAGGTCTTTTGGGAGCTCACTGGCTTCAGGTTCTGTAGGAACTCCGAAGTTAAGTGAGTTTGCGCGGGAGCAATCCCAAGATGGGTGAGCTACTGGGAAGTTCTCGTGTCTGTTCTTATAAACAAAATCATGGGGGCCCAAAGCAGGTGGAGTTGAGCCTAGGATGTGACAGATACCTTCGTGCTTATTCTTTGTAGTCATAACACGAATTTCTTGTTATTCATTCTCTCGTTTTTTCTGTTATCTTGATTTTTTAGATATCATGTTATTCACACTTTTGGTAACATCATTGATAAGTGCAGACAATTGAAAAGAGATATTGGAGTTCTCGTGTCTGTTCCTAGAAACAAAATCGTGGGGGCCCAAAGCAGGTGGAGTTGAGCCTGAGATGTGACAGATACCTTCGTGCTTATTCTTTGTAGTCATAACACGAATTTCCTGTTATTCATTCTCTCGTTTTTTTTGTTATCTTGATTTTTTAGATATCTTTTTATTTATACTTTTGGTAACATCATTGATAAGTGCAGACAATTGAAAAGAGATATTGGGGATTGTGAATTGATTCATGTGCATAGGGAGAAAAACGTAACTGCGAATGGTTTTAAGACTCTGATGATATGATGGGGGCCTTATGACTCACCTTTTATGTAATGATATCTCTTCAAGCTAGTTTCAGGGTGTTTCACTTTCACCCCGTTTATTACCCAAAAAAAAAAAAACATGGGAAAGACGGATCACTATTTTCTACCGAAGTAGAATTGGGGGAAAATAAAGAGTTATAAAAACGAAAAAGTTTTCTCGTCGTTGGAAATAATGGAAAATAAAAGCATAAAATGAAAAGTGTCGAACCCGATATATTTGCATGCAAGAGTCCAATTAAAGTTTGCAATAGTCCAATTAAAGTTCAAATCCATTAAAATCGTGGGCCGTTTATCATTTGAGTGACTCGGCCATAGTCCAAGTTGAAGCCTAGCCCAAGCCAACTCTTGACTCCAAAGTCCAACAAACCAAATCTTCAAGGAAGGTAAATGTGAAGTTACTTAAAAATCTTTGCCTCATGTGTAACAAGTTGACACGAGTCATAGTAAATGTTTATGTTTCTTACCAGCACTACAAAAATCTAATTGTTTATTCTCAACAATTTATATTCAAAAAGAAAATTACTATTTTTTGATTATTGAATAAGATGCTTTTATTAAATATCATAATATAGTACATCGGATAGCAGAGAATTTATCTAAAATTCAAATGTGAATATCAGAAACTAAAACTGTGTCTTTGTTAAAAGGCACGTTGCTTGATTGATCATCACAAGGCATAAAATAAAAAAAGTCTCACAAATACGAATACTAAAATTTCACTTTGGTTAATTAGAGCTGTGATGTCCAGTGGCGGAGCCAAGATTTCGGGTTAAGAGGGGCCTCTCACAAATATTAAAAAAAAAAAAAAATTAAATCAATAGTAGTTACAAAATTGTTAACCAAAACATCATAGTATATATATGAAAAGTAACAATTCAAAATAACATAGCATTGATAATATTACATATCCCCAATAATTAAAATAATTGTCCTCGACGAGTTTTCATATTCCGAAACCATTGCATAGTATATGTATGTTAATTTTACAAACTAAAACAAATTAGGCAATAGTTAAGAGAAATTGCAAGACATCAATTTAATCATAATTTATAAACAAAAATTGTAAGAGAAATTTGGAGTAAAATACATACTTTGGGTTGTTGACCAATTAACTAAACTTCAACGTCTTTTCTTTGATGGAATGATGGAATAATGGAATTCTTTAATCTACAAAAAAAAAATTATTTGTTAAATTAATTTACAATTGTAGATGACAACATATATGAATTAGCAAATTGCAAAAGAAAATTGAAAGTGACAACTTTGGAGATTTGAAGTTCGTACCTTGAGGATCATGGAAATTAAAGACTGATTGAAAAGTAATACACATATATCAGCCATAACCCAGACTGGCAGACTGCAATCAGCTAGAAACTTGGAGAATAATAAAATACTAATTTTTAGTATTGGAAAAAGGAATAGAAGCATTGGAAGTTGGAATAGGTAGGCTTTAGGGTTAGACTAGATTACATAAATATCCTTAAAATATTTAAAGAGGGCCGGATCTTTTGTTTAGGAAATTGGAATGGTTTAAGTGAAAAAGTCATGGAAAAAATGATAAAAAACATAAAAAAAATAAGTAGTACTAATTTTTTTTATAAACAAAAGTAGGGTGGCCCTGGGGCTACTGTGGTCCTATGGGGCGGGGCGATGTCTAGTTTTCACTTTGTTAGAAAGATCTTGAGTTTAAAATTTCAACGACAACAGTTGTTGAGTAAGGTTATGAACAATTGTGTGCATTTTATTTAGTTGTAGTTATGTAGAGGAATGTCTTTTAGATTATATATATGTAGTGATTGTCATTCTACCACGTGGCCAAATTTGGGATATGATCGAACTAAGTACATCATCCCCTTGTTCCTAATTATATATCATATACACAAGGGGGCATAAAGTTTAAGACATAAACATATCATCCCCTTGTTCCTAATTATATATCATATACACAAGAGGGCATAAAGTTTAAGACATAAACATCCCAGATGTGAATACAACAAGAAAAGCATATAATGCTGAATTAGTGACTAATGAAGCAAACTACAGGCAACAGGAAGAGATCTTGTGTCCTAAATTTTGAATAGAAAAGCCTGAAAAAGAAGATGTGCAGACCAAACTCTGGCTCCAGTGCAGGACTCCTTTGAGATCCTTCAGAAGTTATAGACAGCTTGAATGCACTGCTTGTAGTTGTTAACGGGTTTGTGGGGGCTTTCCTAAACCCTTAACAATCAATGCTTATCCCAAAGTTCAACCAAGAAAAAGTTAATTAAAGAGAAAAGCACTGCACATTCAAAAGCTGCTTTTGAACTTTTGCTTCCATCTTTGATCTCATCTTCCTAAACTCATTCCTCTAGGTATTTTTAGCTAGGTACAAAGTATTTGGTGGAACTTTATCTAGCTACCAAATATTTAATGGCAACCAATTATGCTCTTTCAGCAATTTGGTTAACTGCATGCTGCAGTCATTTTCAACCTTTGCGCTCGATAATCCTAAAGTCTCAGCAAAGTTCAATATATTTTTGTGAAAAAACTGGTCTTAGCTCTCAGTTTTAATTTATGTTTGACTTGGGAGCACAATGTACATCTATGGTGCTATAAGTTCTTTGTATAGGATGTTAGTTTTTGTAAATCTTATGGTCGTTAATGTATTAGCAACATGTATGTTAATTATTTACATGTTATTGACGTTTTACCAATACCATATCGATAGTCTGTTCTTTAAGAAAGGAAATACGCTCCATATAAGAGAACATTTAAGATAAAACAAGATAAGATCAGACATTGTTTTGGTTTCTTGGGTCTATCATCTATTGCATGTTCTTCTGATATTATTTTTTTCACTTCAAAAAAGCACTTCATTGGCTTTATATTCCATGGGTTTGCTTTCTAAGAGATGCAATAAATTGAGAGAAGTACCCTCCAAAATCTTAGGGTCCACTTGGTATCCTATTTGAAATTTTTTATCATTTCTCAAAACATTTCTTAAGAACATTTTTTGAAAACAATTTTCTTTAAGATTCAAAAATTTGATTGGTTTGTGATTTAAAAATTTTAAATCTTACGACTTAAACTAGACAAAGAGATCTAAAAATAGGAAGTTATAAGAGAGGGAGAAAGATGAGAGAGGAGGAAATAAAGTAAGAGATGATTGAAGGAAAGAGAAAGAAGAGAGAGGATCGAAAGAGATAGAGAAGAAGATGAGTGAGAGAAAGAACCGAGAGAATGAAGAGAGCAGATTAGAGGAGAAACGAAAAAGGTAAAAAAAAAAAAAGAGGAGAGAAAGAACAAAAGAGAGATAGATTTGGAGTGAGAGCGGAGCAGGGAGATAAAAGAAATGGGTGAGTTTTGGTTTAAAAAACTTTAAAAACTCATTTTTTTTTATGTTTTTAGATAATAGACTATATTTTGGAGTTAATCTTGAGTTCAGTGTTTGAAAATCGTCCTATCAAACAAGTTTTTAAGGTCTAAAACTTGAAAATTATTTTTGAGTTTAAAAAGTTGGATTCAAATAGAGTACCAAACATGTCTTTAGTTTTCAATAGGCATTATTTTTAAAACAGTTAGAGGCATCTTTTTGGAGGGCAAAAAGAAGAGAGTTGGAAGAAAAGCCATTGATATTTTCATACCATCGCAACAACATATACCAGGGGCGGAGGGACCATAGGACCTCCTAGGCCCTGCTTTTGTTTATAAAAAAAATTAGTACTACTTATCTTTTTTTATTATTTTTATCATTTTTTTCATAACTTTTTCACTTAAATCATTCTAATTTTCTAGACAAAAAATCTGGCCTTCTTTAAATATTTTAAGGATATTTACGTAATCTAAGTCTAACCCTAAAGCCTACTTATTCCAACTTCTAACACTTCTACTCATTTTTCCAATACTAAAAATTAGTATTTTATTATTCTTCAAGTTTCTTACCGATTGCAGTCTGCTAGTCTGGGTTAGGGTTGATATCTGTATATTGTTTTTGATCAGTCTTTAATTTCCATGATTCTCAAGGGTATGAACTTCGAATCTCCAAAGTTGTCATTTTCAATTTTTTTTGCAATTTGCTAATTCATATATGTTGTCATCTACAATTGTAAATTAATTTAACAAATAATATTTTTTTGCAGATTAAAGAATTCTATTATTCCATCATTCCATCAAAGAAAAGACTTTGAAGTTTAGTTAATTGGTCAACAATCCAAAGGATGTATTTTACTCTAATTTCTCTTACAATTTTTTGTTTATAAATTATGATTAAATTCATGTCTTGCAATTTCTCTTAACTATTGCCTAATTTGTTTTAGTTTGTAAAATTAACATACATATACTATGCAATGGTTGCAAAATATGAAAATTCGTCGAGGACAATTATTTTTTATTGGGGATATGTAATATTATCAATGCTATGTTATTTTTAATTTTGGTTACTTTTCATATATATACTATGATGTTTTGGTTAACAGTTTTGTAACTACTATTGATTTAATTTTTTTTTAATATTGGTGAGAGGCCTCTCTTAACCCGAAATTCTGGCTCACATACACAAAATCTTGCTTGTTAAGAAAACAAGAGAGAAAAAACCAAGCAGAAGATGGGAAAGCAATCTTCACTCTTCTGTTTCTGCAACATATTGAAGGCCTGCTTTCAAGCGGCAGTAGAGACGATACATATTACTCCGATGATGGCACTGTTTATGTTGGACGGAGAATATGTCCCGGTGATGAGGACAGAGGAGGCTGGACGGCCGAGCCTGGCACGCAAGGCCAATGCTTTCATCAATACAACGTGTCTCATTCCTTGTACTATGTCGATGCCAAAGCTAGGTTTTACATTGACAATCTCATCTAGAGTGTGACATAGTTGTTTGAATTATACTGCTAAATCAAAATGTCGATGCCAAAGCAAGTTTTTAATTATAATCAATATGATTACAAAGTAAAGCTTTTAAAAACAAACATTTTTCTACACTAATACCAGTACTTTCTGTTAACCGCAGGATAGATCATAAGCTTCAAGTTAGCTCTTCGATCTTTCTCCTTGTTGGCTTCTTGTGCTTCAAACTTTTTGTAAACGAAAAGTTTAGCAACAAATACATAAACGCATTATAACCATTAAAAATATTATAAATTATATATATATATATATATATATATATATTAAATTAAATGGATAAATGAATATCCGTTATAACCGCGGATAATATCCATAACCAATGGATATCCGTTATAATCGCGGGTAATACCTATAACCGTCAATTTAAATTTCACGGATAAACGGTTATACTCATAACCGTAACCGTTAATTTTAAATGGGCGGGTAACCACGGTTACCCAAACATATGAGTATTTTGCCCATCCCTAATCATTTTTTTATTTTTTTTTGGGTAAAAGCCCATCCCTAGTCTTTGATTTCTCTGTTGGTAACAAGAAGAGTTGAACATGAATAGGGTACAACAAAGTTATAATTTGGCATACTTCCTGAGCGCTTCACCAGCGTCTTTCGCATGCTCTGGCACAGGCATGTTGCTTAAAAGAGTAACTCTTGATGATGATACGATGGATTTGATGTCTGAGTTTGAAGGATCAATCTTCCATAGTCTCACCTCCCAAACCTGCCCAAAAATAGCCAAACCCGAAAACAATCCTTGAATGATGTATTCCGTTGATCAATATTCGTTACAGGAAAGGAAATGATGAACTGATGAAAGATGAAAAACCAATGTGGATAATTGGGTAATGGCATTCACATTTCTTTAGTAGAATTCTATTTCAGTAGGAAGTCATCTGGAAATAGAATGTTGGGAAGAATGAATGGAGAATTTATACATTGAGACTACGCAGATAACGTTGTCGATAATGTTATAACTGTTGTGTTTTAATTGGAAATGATATAGTTGATGATGAAGACCTGAGAGGATTACCTGAATGGTTCTGCCGACGTAGACCGGGGAGGCTTCAGCAAAGATATGGTCGCCGAGCTGGGCGGGCTTCAAATGGCTGATGCTGAGGTGAATCCCGGCCACCCTTTGGAAACCAGACGCCATGTGAGCTCCCATGCTAGCCAGGGCCTCAGATATGAGTGCTGATATCCCCCCATGTAGCACCTTGAACGGCTGGTCTCAGCAGGAAAGAATGGTAAGTAGTTAGTCATATATGTTTTGTTTTGCTTCTGCAATTAACATCTTTCAGAAATTTCAGCTGGAAACGATTCATGATATGAAGAGAGAGAAGATGATGATGCTGACCTGGACGCACTTTTCGGTGACATGGAGGTGACCAGAGACCTTTTTGGGGGTTATCTCTTCAACCTCGAACCCGAATTCCCCTAGTGGAGCATCCAGAACCGACGTCGTCGAGGGCGGCAATAGCGACGGCGCCGGTGGCTGAGATTGGGGCCGAGAAGCCATATCTCTACCAAATATGAATCTGAGATTGGTCTGTATATTATTATTAGACGATGCAACCAAAGCAATTCAAATTTCCCCTTCGATTATTGAGTGGATGGTAAGACTTTTCTACCCTGTTGAATTGTTGGTGCATCTTGAGGGCAAAATATCATATGAGGTTTCAGGAACACAATTTTGACACGCATTTTGATATTTTGTAAGTTCCACTACGTAATCTATTTAAACAATCTAGATAGTTTATATTTTAGTAGATCATTCATAGATTATTTTTGTAAAAAATTAGTTAAATCCAAAACCATTGATGTTTGTTTGCAGTGAAGAAAATTAACGAATATGGTTCTACAAAGAAACATAAAATTTAATCTAATAGTCACCTTGTTTCAGATTTGAGTGATTTTTTATAGATATAATATAAAATATAGACAGTTTAATCGTTAAAATATAATTCATAGTCAACTCTACAAAAACTATGTCAAAAGTGTGTGTGTTCAAATCTTAGGATGAGGATCTCTCTTTGTGAGAATCTGAAGGATCAATTCATCGTACATCACATTGATGAGGATGGGAGAGGTAGGCGGGGTATGGGTGAGGATGTGAGAGGTAAGTGAGGTATGGGTGACTTGCTTAAATAATATACAATAGGGTTATTATACGGCGGGGTATGGGTGAGGATGTGAGAGGTAAGTGGGGTATGGGTGACTTGCTTAAATAATATACAATACGGTTATTATACAAAATGGTCACTGAGATTTGCATGATCAATAAAAATAGTCTTTGAGATTGAAAATCAATAGAAATGATCCCTGAGATTTTCCGCCATTCATGATTTTGATCATTCCGTTTTTTGGGCAATTTTCAAAGCTTTGTAACTCAATCGTTTCTTAACCAAATTCGACCTATAATATATCAAAATGAAGATAGGAAAGTGTATAATAAGATTATACCTATTTGGAAGCCCAATGGTTGCCGGAGATGGTCAGAAAATAGCCTGAAAGGTGATTGGTCCGCGGGAAAACTGGAAAACTCGCCGAAAACTGGGTAAACTGTAAACGTTCATAACTTCTTCAATACTCAAGCAAATCGAGTGATTCAAAAACAAATATAATACTTATTGATGAGATGAAGAGAATGGTACCTTTTTCGAAGGCTAACTCGCCGTGGTTTGGTCGGACAATGGCTCGAAAGTGGCTAACCGTTTTCGAGCAGTTTTCCGGCCAAACCACGATGAGTTAGCAGTAAACAAAGATACCATTCTCTTCGTCTCGTTGAGAAGTATGATTTTTGTTTTTGAATCACTTGATTTTGTTGAGTATTGAAGAAGTTATGAACGTTTAAAATTTACCCAGTTTTCGACGAGTTTTCTAGTTTTCCCTTGGACAAGTCACCTTTCAGGCTATTTTCCGACCATCTCTGGCAATCAATGGGCTTCCAAATAGTATAATCTTGTTCTACACTTTCGTATCTTCATTTTGATATATTATAGGTCGAATTTGGTTAAGAATCGATTGAGTTACGAAGCTTTGAAAATTGCCCAAAGAGTTTTTAACAGAAGGACCAAAATCATGGATGGTGGACAATCTCAAGGATCATTTTTATTGATTTTCAATCTCAAGGACCATTTCTATTAATCATGCAAATCTCAGGAATCATTTTGAATAATAACCTTATACAATATTCCACAGTGGGAAAGGTAGGCGGGGTATGGGTGACTTTAAGGGCAGAAAGACCATAGGACCACAGTAGTCCTAGGCCCACCCTGCTTTTGTTTATAAAAAAAATTAGTACTACTTATTTTTTTTTATCATTTTACCATGACTTTTTCACTTAAACCATTCCAACTTCCTAGACAAAAGATCCGGCCCTCTTTAAATATTTTAAGGATATTTATGTAATCTAGTCTAACCCTAAAGCCAACCTATTCCAATTTCCAACACTTCTACTCATTTTTCCAATACTGAAAATTAGTATTTTATTATTCTCCAAGTTTCTAGCTAATTGCAGTCTACCAATCTAGGTTAGGGTTGATATTTGTGCATTGCTTTTCGATCAGTCTTTAATTTCCATGATCCTCAAGGGTATGAACTTCGAATCTCCAAAGTTGTCATTTTCAATTTTCTTTTGCAATTTGCTAATTCATATATGTTGTCATCTACAATTGTAAATTAATTTAACAAATAATATTTTTTTTTGCAGATTAAAGAATTCCATTATTTCATTATTCCATCAAAGAAAAGACGTTGAAGTTTAGTTAATTGGTCAACAACCCAAAGTATGTATTTTACTCTAAATTTCTCTTACAATTTTTTGTTTATAAATTATGATTAAATTGATGTCTTGCAATTTCTCTTAACTATTGCCTAATTTGTTTTAGTTTGTAAAATTAACATACATATACTATGCAATGGTTTCAAAATATGAAAACTCGTGGAGGACAATTATTTTAATTATTGGGGATATGTAATATGTGACATCCCACATCGCCCAGGGGAGTGATCCTTATATGTATTCCCATCCCTACCTTGCACGAGGCCTTTTGGGAGATCACTGGCTTTGGGTTCCGTAGGAACTCCGAAGTTAAGCGAGAAGGGGGCTAGAGCAATCCCATGATGGGTGACCCACTGGGAAGTTGCTCGTGAGTTCCCAAAAACAAAACCGTGAGGGAATGGTAAGCCCAAAGCGGACAATATCATGCTACGGTGGTGGAGCGGGCCCTGGAAGGGTTCCGCCCCGGGCCGGGATGTGACATAATATTATCAATGCTATGTTATTTTGAATTTTGGTTACTTTTCATATACATACTATGATGTTTTGGTTAACAGTTTTGTAACTACTATTGATTTAATTTTTTTTTAATATTTGTGAGAGGTCCCTCTTAACCTAAAATCTTAGCTCCTCCACCGGGTGGCTTGTTTAAATAATATACAATATTCCACAGTAATGCCACAATATTTTTTTTTTGGGTCAATTTTTTGGATGGGTCAATTTTGGCTCCGTATTTCCTCCGCCACCTCGGCTCTTTTTCTTCGGCCATCAAAATTCCACAGTAATGCCACAATATTTTTATTTTTATTTTCTTTAGTAGATTAATTAGCACGTAGACTTGCTTGAATACTTATATGTGCAATAATTTTCTTTTATTATTACAAATTTTTGTTTAATTGTATAACTTTAAATGTGAAATATAGATGGTTTGTCTAAAAGAAATCCTGATCCTGCTGCTTATGGAGGAGTTTTCCGGAATTGCCATGGTTAGTTTCTTGGTAGTTTCTACCAATGGATTGGCAAATATATGAAACATGTGTGTGTATATATATATTAAAAAGTAATGCATGAAACGTGTGTGTGTGCGCGTGTGTGTATATATATATATATAATATTGAAAAGTAATGCATGAAACATGTGTATGTGTGTTGACAAATATATGAAACATATACAATATATATCGGAAGGTAAATATAAATGTAGGGGGTTCATGCATCATATGAAATGTTTTCATGCTTCATGGTCTTTGAAATATCTTCCTTTATTTTAAGTGTACCTGATTGGCAGAAAGCTACAAAAAAACCTTTGAATTTGTATAAGATCATTCTCGGAAAGTCAGAATTGCATCTCCAATGCGTTGTATCATGTTCAACACAAAAAAATTAAATTGAATCAATAGCATGTAGATCAATTCAAAATAATAAATTAATCATAAAAAGAATGATTAAAACGTAATACTCCCCTGATTGAAGATTAAACTTTCTTTAGCGCAGTGTCAAGGGCGTGTTGATAACGTGTTGGAGGCATAATTTACTAAACAATTATGGAGGCTAGAGAGAGAGGGTGTGTAGCATAGAGAGAGAAGAGAGAGATGTGTAATTGTTAGGTGTGCAATATCTTACCTCATTATGCCTTTATTTATCGTAGTAGGAAAAGTTAATTCCTTACCCTAATAGGATTACAACTCTAATAGGATAATAGCTAGTCTAAGAGATATGGTAAAATCCCATAAGGATATCCTAGATATGTTAGGATTTACACAATCACGTTCCTAATCTAATAGGGCTGTAACACCCCTTTGAGTGTGTAAATACTCAACTAAATGGTGCATCAGGTTTTCAACGATGAAGTAAGTTTAGTTGATGAAGTCGTCGGCATAATGAGCGAATACGAGTCTCAAATCAATGAAAGAATACATAAAAGGTTAAACTTACAAAACCTCGTTATGATAAAACCCAAGATAGGAAAAAAACTCATAGACTAAAGAGAAAAGTGAGAAGTTGTATTAAGTCAAAACTATACTTCTGGACGCAAGTAGAAGAACTCACAAAGGTATGATCAGCCCAGGATGGGTGCCTCGTCAAAACCTAGTTAGCTAGCAAAACCCAGTGGGAAAAATGTTCCTAATCGTAGAGAAAAAGAGTTCATTAAGATCAAGTGAGTACTATTGAATACTCCCCCTGAGTTTGACAGAACTTCTAACTGAGAATTACAAGCATTTGTATATGAATAGTTAGACATACCAATTTCTCGGACAAGCTTCTGGAAGGTTGACTTCGACAGTGAAGTCGTGTAGAGGTCGATAAGGTTGTTTGAAATCAGCTTGCATGACTTCAATCTTCCGATGCTTTGCTGATGTGGATATAGACGCAATATGTCTTGGTGTTGACTTCGTTGATGTATCATGTCTTGGTTGGGTTAATAGATGCGGTATAATCTTCATGGATCGTTGTCAGGACTCAACAATGGATGAAAATAGTAAGTACTTTGAATATACTTAACAATAACTCCTAACCATATCTCATTTGTGGCGTAGTGAAGTGAGGTGAGTCTTGGAACGTTTTGAAGATTTTGCAACTAAGGTTATATCGTGGACCTCCAAGATATTGTGATATCCCTAACAGTAAAGACATAATCATTCGGGGATTTACCTTGTGCAGGTTTGATAAGTAACCAGCGTCAGTATAATAACAAGGCAAGCATCATTTCGAGGATTAGGGGGGTCGGATCAGCTCGAGATGCGTTGGGATTAGCCCTTCAAGGTAGCGGAAAAAACGTTTTTAATACCAATTTAGTGGTTGCGTGTAGGCATGGTGCTACATCTTTACCAATAGATCAACATCGAAGGAGATGTCCTATCTAATACAATGAGCTAAGTACAACGAAGCGTAAAGTTGAACTCAGATATGAAATTTCG